TCAGTTATTTCTATCTTTTGCTGTAGTGTGTCATAATAACCCAGTGAGATTTTTGTCTGACAACAGCCAGTGCTCCACACAGAGATCTGATCTGATCATCATCCAGTCTGTCTGGAATGACATGAAGAAACAGAACAAACTGAGACACTAAATCCAGAAGAATTGTGGCAACGTCTTCAAGATGCTTCAAGAAACCTACCTGCGAAGCTCCCTGAAAAACTATGCGCAAGTGCACCGAGGGCAAAAGCTGCTTTAAACGCAAAGGATGCTTACACCAAATGTTTATTTAATTTAGTTAACAGAAGTTAATTGATAAAGAAAATTTATTTATGATATTATTTTTGACAGCATCCCCATTTTACAGAATTTTTACACAAGTGCCTAAAACTTTTAACAGCACTGTAGCTTCGCAGGTAGGTTTCTTGAAGCATCTTGGAGACGTTGCCACAGTTCTTCTGGATTTAGTCTGTCTCCGTTTGTTCTGTTTCTTCATGTCACTCCAGACAGATTTCGCTTTCACAACGAAACACACGGCGTCTAGAGTGAGCGGAGGCCGGCGGCTAGAGTGAGCAGTGTCGTGCGGGCTTAAGAACGGCGCGTCCGGCGGGCTTGCGGCAACCACATGTGACGACCCCGGGCTGGACTCCGCTTCGTCCACGGTGAAAGCCAATAAAATACTAGTGTTCTAATCATTTTGGGCACCACTGTAGCTCTGATAATATATGTAGACAAACATATGTATTTTAATTCTGAATTCTAGCTATATTAGTGTAATAACAAGTAAAACCAAAACATACAACAAAAGTCCATGCTCCGGAAGTGACAGACACAGCAGATAAAGAGCAGTCCTCCTCCAAATTGCCAGTAATCAGCTGGGGGTAAAAAAAGAAAAAAGATTGTGAGAAGACACCTGTTTTATCTGGGATTAAAACAAACTAAAAACATGAAAGAAAAATACTGTGAACATTCCTTTAAAAATAAATTAATGTTAGTATGTCTTAATGTTAGACATAAATACTCACTTCCTCTGAAGATCATGTGGTAGAAGATTTTCTTTCCCAAAACTTCTGGATCATGAGGGGGAAGCACACACACAAACAAATTAATATCAATTTGTTTAATAAAACACTATTTACTTACTGACACAGACATGGGCTTGCAAAAATGTACTCACCAGCTCCATACAAAATCTTCACAGTTGATCCAAAATCCTGGTTTACATACAGTATTCTCCAAGGAATCCAAGGATCATGCCTTCAGGTCCTCTCTGTCAAATGAGTTTACATGACAGTGTTCTCAGATTACTCATTTCAAAGTTCCTTCACTTTTTGAGTTTGATCTTAAAACTAGCTGACAGTATGGGTGGGCGATATGACCATATTATTTCACAATATAGGACATTTTATTTCACAATAACAGTGTCACAATACAGTTATTTTAGTAAACATAAGATCAAAGTAGCAAATTACAAACAATACGACTAATGCAATAGAACAAAGGTAAGTTAAATACATTTTGTGATTTTCTCTTTAGTATTTTGTTGTTTGATTAAAATTATGACTGACTGCAGGTAACGTTAGGCTAAATTATACTGCTGTCACTTTAACAACAAAGTGCACAGATGCAGTATATACTGACACATCACCGGGTTTCCACCTAAATGTTAATCTTGACTCCAAACATTAGCGACTGTGTTTAAGTCAAGTGAATTTTGAGATGGCTGTCTGTATTTGACGATTCAAGTGAGGTGCAGCTTTGTGTCTATTGTTCTTCACTCATTTCATCACCACGCGCATCCTGCTATTTATTCCTCATTCATGGACATTTCTTTATCAATAACTTTAAGTAGTACTGTGCTATGAGTTTATATATTGCGCTTCATATCATCGCCACGACATGGTCATATATCGCCCAGCCGCAGCTAACAGTATTAGCTCATACTAACACACACTGGTAGGACATTGAGATGTATAATCGTGATTAGCATCTCACTTCAATGCACTGTATCTTGATGTAACTATAGAATATTATATAAGGTACTTAACGTTACTTACCTTTTGCAGTTTGCATGTCTGTTTGCTGCTGGTAGAAGTCTTTGTCCATATTCGCGTTTATTTGTTCTCAATCGTCATCCCACAACCCAAACTCGCTCAAAATATGAATTAAACAATCAGACATTAAATAATCCATGTAAAAGCCATTACTAGTGAACTGACCGAAGCAGACTGCACTGCAGCAGAAGCCGATCAGCGGCACACACTGCAACAGTGTATTTTCAAATTTAACCAGGAAAACGGCGCGCTCACTAGTCATTGGCCAGGTTCCTGAGTGACGGTCAGATTAACCAATCACACTCAAAGCAACACTGCAAGACAGCAAATAGTGTTGCATCTATGAAAAAAATAAATAATAACTTGTTTTAAGTGAAAGATTACAAATGTGTCTATTTATTTTTATTTATAGGCTGTTATATTTAATTAATTGTTCAAATGGTGATTTCACATTATGCTAGGTGGAATGTCCCCATAAAACAGTCGTGTGTAGTGTGTGTGTGTGTGTACGTGTTTGGCTACTTGTGCAGTTATATTGACATGACCAATAAGCAATAAGCTGTATTTTAACAAATCCATGATCTTTCCTTTAGAAGCACCATTTGTGCTGCTATGGCATTTTCTGTATTTGGCCCTTCAGTGTTACACAGCCTGTTGGTTAATCCTCTGTCCACCATAACACTTATTTAAAAATAATGCCATAATTGCATGCAAGTTACAAAATTTGTCTACATACTTTTATTTAATAGCATAAATATTGCAAGCTATATATCGACTGCAGTAGGACTTTATAGCATTTGTGATATGCGACAATGTAAACTGAAAATGTTGAACTTCTCACCATAGAAAGTGAAAGTCTGTTTTTTAGTTATTCAAACGTAAAGACAATGTATAGGTTGGTCCTAAGAGCAATGTTCCATCATGAACATTGTTGTCCTTCCCACATAGCAAGCGATCTTGGCCCAAATGTGGCCTCAAGCTGGAACTGCTGGCCTCCTGTCGGCAATGGCAGGTACCCTTTCAGCCAGAGCTGGGCCATGTGTGGGGATTGTACAGCATGGATCACGGCAAACATGAGGGCCGATTGCTGGTGGGAGGAGTGTGGCCCAGATCAGTCCAGTGATTATGTGGCCCAAATCAGGCTTGTGATCTGACAGCATATTATGTGACCCATGATAAACAAGATAAATAAAATATTGCATGATAACGGTTAAATTATCAAATAAATTTCAATGAAGTGTAGCATTGTTTAAATTTAATCTTTGAAATTGCAAGTCAAAACAGAATGAAAAGTTATCATTTCAAAATTAAGCAAATCTGTAAATCAGTAAACTGCACTTAATTATACATTATTATTATCAGTCAATATCATATTATTATACAAATAATCTTAGAATCCTTACATAAAGAGAGAGAGAGATCATTTAACCATTATCATGCAATATTTATTTGGTTTACCATGGGGCACATACATTTATTAATATGCTGTCATGCACAAGCATTAAATAACATGATCATAAAAGTATTTAATTTTTATTCAGATCTTTGGTATACGTGTGATGCTTTGTGTGAGGAACAGATCCAAATTCAAACCATTCAGCGATATATATCTCCTTCCTCTGTAGTTATAGTAATAATTAAAAAATTAGCCGTTAAGGAGTTTTACAACAAGTTTTACAGCAGCGATATCAAACGCTCATTGGCTCTCGCCGGTTTTGTCATAGATTGCGACATGCCGTGTTTCCGGTTATGCGTGTTTATTTGAATGAGAAACACGTGCCCGGGATAGTATTTGCAGCATTTAACAACTTAAATTATGCCCTGCTCCTCACACTAAACTATTATATTCCGCCAGAGAGGACTGCGACTGCAACGCATCGTCATTTGGACTACTGTGGTACTGCTTTTTGACATTTCTGCAATACATTCTTGTGATTACATGTGTCTGTATGTTGCGTTTCTCTTATTGACTGTATACTTTATACACTCTTTATTGGTTGATTTTTTCTTTATAAAATTTTTTTTTTTTTAATGCAATACATTTTTTATTGCATGGTTACATGATTTGTGTTTTT